CCCCCCCCCCCCCCCCCCCCCCCCCCCCCCCCCCCCCCCCCCCCCCCCCCCCCCCCCCCCCCCTGAGCCCCCATTTCCCCTAACGAGTGCGTGGTGTCAGGGTGAGCAAGCAAGCGTATGCTTGATAGATGACTTTGAGTTGGGTACAATAACCCTGCGTGAAGGACTATCTTCGTGGTCGAGAGTGACTAGCTTCATTTCGCCATCTGGGGTCAGAGCCCGAGAAAATTCGGTTGAGAGATGGCGCTGAAAAAGCTTGCCACCGATCAATCCAAGGGTCCTACAAGTCATTCGCGCCACTTGACAGATTGGCGACGATGTGTTGGACGTTCTCGAAATGGAGTTGAAAGCATTCCAAGGTTTGGACCAAGGGGAATGAGCGGCACGACGTCTGAAGCCTCCCGGCAGGGATAAGGTAGGCCGCCATGTCACGGATTGACGGGTTTGGCGCCGTGGGAGCTGCGCGGCCAACAAAGGGAGGCCGACTGCAAATGATGCGAATGAGGTTCGACCGGGTCTGTTTGCGCCGCATGTTGGTTCCCGTTGATCCTTGTGGCCGTATTGGGTTCTGAGGCTGCGAACAAAGAAGAGACATGTTTCCGATAATGTTTCGCAGGGGAGAGAGTGAGCTTTGTTGAACAGCGATCCATCGAAGGTTGCCACGCCACGCTTGGCTTGAACTTCCTGCTTGGGCCGGGGAAGACTGGAAACCAATTCAATTAGTGTAGATGAACCAAAGGACGCGGGATTGAATGACTGGCCGTCGTAGTAAAGCCGGGGAAGTTAACATGGAGCTATCAAGCGGTCGAGCTGCTTCTTCTCGTCGGACATGTGTCACCGTAATTTGACGGCTACGCCGGCCATTCGTGGTTGTGTAAGATAACACGGCAACGAACACTCGACGGAGTTGTCGATGATAAAAGCAGCTGAGGATGGATGAATTGACGAACCTCAGGACCCACGGCTCGCGTATCGCGTTCCGCGCCGTAGTGCGTAGTATCCGTATGCATCCGCATCCTTGGTCGTTCTGGCGGTCATGAGGAAGTTGGAAGTGGTGATGCGGAGCTCGTCATGCAGCGATGTGGGCTCAAAGTTGGAATGACCCCGAGTAGCGGTATCGGTTGCAGGGTGACCTTCACCGACTTAATGCCAGCCATGACGATGATGGACAGGTGAGGGTCGTCTGCCAAAGAAAGACGCTTCTTCGGGTACTGATGCAGATGGCGGGAGGCGGGCCAACGAACAGGGGCCAAAGTAATTGTGCCTATCAGGAAGCGTTTGCAACGCGATGCATTGGAACGACTGACAATGTGGCTGGCCGTGGGTGGATTGTCGTTGTCGAAGGTCCCGTCCCGTCCCCCTGGTCGCTTTGGATGATTTTTTTCTTGTGCATCTTCTTTGTCACTCGGCGATTGACCACTTGTTGTTGTAGTGGTGGTTGGTGATAATGATGCTGGGAGTCTTTTGTCTTCTGTTTTTCCCTTCCTCTCCCTCACTCGGTCCGTACCTTACGTGGCGACGGATGGTGCGAGTTGAGGTGTGCAGTCCCGTCCAAACCGACTCGGACTGGAGGGACGGGACGGGAGGTTTGGACGACGACACCCACTTGCCCCAAAACCACAAAGCCCTACCTTAGGTAAGGTGACAGGAGTCTGCCAATGGGAACGGTGCAGTAAGTGGATCCTCTCCCAATCTGGAAGTCTGGTAGGGATACGTACATGAGAGATATCCAGGTAAGGCAGGTACGTATCTTAGTGTGAGGTACCTTAAGGTAGTAGGGTAGTGTACGTACCTTTTACGGGTCCCCGACCCCGACCGCCTTTCGTCCACGTCCCGTCTCAACTGTCCCATCCAGTGTCCGGGCATTTGCGTTGTGTCGTGCTGTGTGGCCGGGCTGTTGCCGCACCGCACCGCACCGCTTTCTGCTCTGCAACCTCCACTGGGCGTGTACGTGGGCATGCCGCTGCGCTGGATGAAAACCCATGTTATGCTCTCTTTCGACAATCTTGACGAATTGGAGTTGGGGGTTACAAACTGAGGGGCGGTTCGATGTTGCGACTGTCATGGTCATGACTTGAGGGAAAAGAAGAAAATTGTGTAAAGGCGCTCTGAGGCCCGGCTCGTTGGTTCGCGGCCCGGCTTCTTTTGTCCTCCTTGCCTCCTTCCCAACCTTTTGGATCTCGACTTTCACTGTCTTCCCGATTTCGCACCTGACCTACCTTCACCTTTACCTTTACATTACCTTACGGCGCAAATAAGCTATCCGGAGGCAATTCGACCATCAATCCTCCGCAATCCTTGTCAACTCAACTCATCTCTTCTCATCTCATCTCGTCTCCGCACCCGTCAGTCGGTCACCCAACCGGCTCTCACCAACCTCACCGCACAAAAGGTAAGGTACCTTACTTCACCGCATCACCCTCTCAACCCTCCTCACCTTACCCTACCTACACCTCGACAGCCGCCAGCCTTCTTTTCTGCTCCCAAGATTATATTAACACAAAACCACAGTCCCGATTCCTCCCACTCGCTGTGTTCCGTCCAACGCTTTTGTTTCTGCGTAAACTTTCACTGCAGCCACTTACACACTTTGCCGCTCCGCCGCGGCACTTCCCCTGCCCGCCCCGACCCGACCAAGAGTACCACGAAATTGGCACACCTGAATCCCACGCTTACCGTCACCCGCGCTGTCGACGGTGAGCCGGTCTTACACCGTCAGAACAACAATCGCCTTGGCCGCCCGTCCACTCCCTTCTCTGGACCTGGGCTGCTGTGCTCCCACCGGCGTACCACCGGCATCTGAGGCCCGAGGGACCTCCAGTCTTACCTTACTATACGCTACCTACGTCTGGCCACTCACGGCCGGCCGGACCATCCTGATTTCCACGCCATGGCGCCCCAAAAATTCACAAGCGTGCGCCTGAAGTCCCGGCCTACGCTCGTTCCCTTCAAGGACGATACTAGCCTCATCGCTGTCCGCTACGAGAAGACGGTCCAGGCAGAGCCTCCCATCCCTATTCTAACGCGCCTCCCCCCGAGGTCTCTGTCCGTCAGGACGCGCCGTACCTACGCTTCCGAAACTTCAACTCTCTCAAGTCCGCCTACCAGTCCCGTCGTCGTCACTCCTCCTCCCGCCATCGAACAGCACCCTGCCTTTCGACCCCGATTGCCCGACCTCGATACCGCTGCAAACGATTGGAAGAGGGATTCGGGTCTCGCACGCACTACTTCTTCTTCGGCCACCATAGTTGAGGAGTGCGACGAGGAAGGCTACACGCCCGTCAAGGTCGCTTCCTTGATCGTCGCCAGCGAGATTGTGCAACAGCGGGAGCTCGTGGCACCCTCACCTTCACCCTCCGTCTACGACGGCGAATCCGTCTACTCCACCGACCAGCCCGCTGCGAGCAGACAGACCCCTTCCGGTCGATGCATGCCAGCATCTGGCCCGACGTCCGTCGCCATGGACCATTATCATTTTGCACAGCTCCAAATTGCCGAACGAAAGACGTCTGGTAGCCTTGGCAGCTCATTATCGGCGGATTCTCCGCTTGAGTTGCGGGATGGGCGTTTAAGCGACCTATCACCTGCAGCTGCACCAATGATCACCCCGGCGCGGGGCTTCTCATTTACAGCCTCCGATAAGTCGCCTAATCTGTCCCCTGTCGACATCCCCGACGACCTCGACCTCCTGAGCAAGGATGCCACCGACTTCTCCCCCATTTCAATCTCCATCCCCACCGTCAGTCTCCTTGATGATGATTTCCTGACGACCCTCTCCTTCTCCAATCGTGGCAGTCTAATGTTTGGCGGTCGCCGCGCTTTCCCCGCACAAACAACCGACGGAACAATGGAAGACAAGTCGCCGACGGGCGATGCTCACCCTCACGCTCACGCTCACGCTCATGCTCACGCGTCTTCGTCTGCGCCCGCGCTTGTGCCTGCATCAGCCCCGACTCCTGTATCTGAGCCTGCGCCCCCCGTCCTCCACGTCCAATACGAGGAGCCACCTCAGGGCACCGCCGCCGACATGGCTGAACCCACCATGACTGAGGCTACTTCAAGCGAGGTCCCTCCACATGGAGTCGCTCCGGGCGACGCCGCCCCAACGATGGAGCCCAGTGCACCAGACACCAGCGCCATCTTGGCCGCCGCGAACGATTCAAATGTCCCCGAGACGAAAACCGAGACGGAGACCCAGGCGATGAACGAGGCGACTGCCACCGAACCAAGCGCCACAGAGATAGCCGCAGAGACGGCATCGCAAACTGCAATGGCAGCGCCCAGTATCCGCGTCCTGTCTGCGGACGTGGAGTTGGAATCTCGAAAGGTGAGATCGCTCTATGCATCTGGCGATAGCATCAATTGGGAAGACGGAGGACGACCGTCGGATGTCGGCGAGCGGTTGGATTCAACTCTCGAAACCCCGACGGACGAGGCTGAGAACGATCCGTATGGTTTCCTTTTTGCCCATTTCGGTAACCGGAATTAGCATGCTAACATTTGTCTCTCTCTTAGCGTCGCCGAGCTCCAACCTCCTGCATGGGGTACTCCAAGATCTGGAAGTTCCTATTCACAACGTCCCGAAATAAGAAGCGAGTATGAGGTGGCTGGCGGTTACGAAGACTGGGAAGACCTCAACGGCTATGACGTCGACCGGTACGGTTTCATCAACCCACGCAAGCCCGAGGCGAGAGTGGGCAGCCCCACCAACCTTAAGTCTTCGCAGTTCGCTCCCAAGAAGAAGAACATCCTGAAAAGGGACCCGTTTGGTTTGGGCTTGCCGCTTCGGGGACCCAGTAGGAAGGTGTCTGCCAGATCCCTCAATACCCAGACATCCAAAGCTTCGGCTGCATCTCGTCGATCGACTCGGTCGGCGATTCGCCATGCGGGCAACCTGCTCCCCCACAACCGCGATCGACGGTGGATGGATGAGGCCGGGGGTATGCTGTCACTCTCTCTGGGGGATGAAGAGAACATCGAAAAGATCTCCGAGGCTATCAAGAGAAAGGAGTGGGAGAGGTCGGAGAAGTGGCGAAAGATGGCCAAGGTCACTAGGAAGGGCAAGGACGGCGAAGGCATGGAGTTTGACTTCGACGTGAAAAACCAGAAACTCATCGACAGGACGTGGAAGGGCATACCCGACCGTTGGAGGGCCTCCGCCTGGTATTCGTTCATGGCATCGGCTGCAAGGGCTCACAAGGACTCTCCATCAGAGGATTCCATCATAACCGACTTTCACCGTCTCCAGTGCAGAGGCTCGCCGGATGACGTACAGATCGACCTGGATGTCCCACGTACAATCAGCAGGCACGTCATGTTCCGGAAGCGCTACACCGGCGGTCAGCGATTGCTATTCCGGGTCTTGCACGCGCTGTCACTCTACTTTCCGAACACCGGCTATGTTCAAGGCATGGCCTCGCTGGCAGCAACTCTGCTTTGTTACTTTGATGAAGAGAAGTGTTTCGTCATGCTGGTTCGCTTGTGGCAGCTTCGTGGGTTGGAGAAGCTGTACAGCCCCGGTTTTGACGGGTTAATGGCGGCTCTGGACGACTTGCAGACCAAGTGGCTGAACGGCAAGGACGTCGCCAAAAAGCTGGTAAGAAGGGACTCTTGTCTTCAAACAGTGACGTGGTGCTGACCCATGACAGACTGAGCTCTGCATCGACCCTACCGCCTATGGTACCCGATGGTATTTAACTCTTTTCAACTTGTCGATCCCCTTCGCCGCCCAGCTTCGCGTATGGGATGTGTTTCTACTTCTCGGCGAGAACCCTGAGCCTTCCGCGAGCAAGGCCAGCGATTTGCCAATTACCATGACAGGCATCGATATTCTGCATGCCACCAGCGCGGCTTTGATCCATGCGCTGAGAGAAGTCCTTCTGGACTCCGACTTTGAGAACGCCATGAAGGCGTTGACCTCGTGGATCCCCGTGAAGGATGAGGACTTGTTGATGAAGGTGACGCGGGCGGAGTGGAAGTCCCGCCAGAAGAAGAAGTTCTAGAGAGGTCTGCTTTTAGCACCCGAGCACCGGTGAGAGGCTATGAGGTGCCAGCATTTTTGAGTCATTTTGGCTCCCGTTTTGTGGATATATGCAAGGCGTTTACGGAGTTGGTCGTGACGAACTCGACACATCTCGTCGACCAATACCCCGGGGCACGGATTGTAACGTTTGTCTCCTCAGACACGGAGGATCTTATTTGTTGATGAAACGGAAGCCTGTTCTACATTCACAGAAGAGACTTGAAAGCGGGTTTGGCGATCAAAAGCGATGAGGGAGGATGGGACCACAGCACGACTTTTCATATACCCCTATGCGATAGTATACTTCTGGGTCGACGTTAGCCCGAGGCATTCACAACAATGTATAATGTATCATTCCACTGCATTCATAGCCGTATCGCGGTGCCTCTGATGTGCTTTGTTGCAGTCCGCGATCCACCCCCAGCTGCCTCACGAAGGCACATCCAACTAAGCTGCTTTCTATGTTGACGTGCGCCATTCCCAGCAGATTCGCAGGAGGTCGATAGTCGCTGAGAATGATCCGCGACTTTACCCGCGAACTAGTCCTGTGGGTGACGGACTTTCCAGCCCAGTTGTCCTTGGCCCGCTCGTTCTCGGGTCTTCGCCGTTTCTCATGTCGTCTTTTCTCCGTGACACCAGCACCGTGTCTCCGGCCGTCCACAAGGTCATCTGGCAGGTGTCGATCTCCATGTACCAGAGTGGATTTCTCATACGAGTAAACGGTTGATCTCTACCCGCTGGACGTGGCTTTGTCTTCCAGCGAACGTGGAAGAAGAACCACAGGGGCAAGATATGTCCATCTGGAGGCTGGTTTCGGTATCTTTCTGCCCCCTCGGTACGCTTACTTGTCGATCAGCGAGGTCTGGATCTCTTTGAAAGTTGTACTTGGAGCTTCTCGAACGTCGATCTACAATGAACCCCCGGCCTTCCGGGATTTTGTCAGAGTGCATTCGAAGGCTCATTTCGCGGCTTGGATGAAGTTGCGGGGAATGTGGAGGTGACGGTAAGTAGAGGAGCAGACAATTATGAATCCTGAATTCGTGTTTGCGCTAGAGTCTGAGGTGAAAATAGCCAACCCGGTAATGCTAGGCCGGTATCACGCTCGTTTTGTTGATCTGCCTAGCTTTATGTGACCTTTGCATATCACCATGGAACTGAGCTGTACCATGTATCGAGCCGGGTACAATTTGTTTCTACTGTTTAGTGGGATTAATAGCTACCAGCCATTCAACGTTCAGAGCAAAAGCTAACAAACCTCAGGCGCGATAGTAACAACTAAAAATACATACAACACCAGGTATTCGCTGGTCGTCACCGACCCAACTACTAATCCGGCCCTCACTGGCTTATCTATGGGAGAGCGGACGGGATCCCGAGTTCTCCAGTGGGTATGGTCGTATGTATCATCTTCGCCGCCAGAGTTGAATATAGCCCTTCAGTTCCACAATGAGGTAAGACGTTAAGGCGTAAAACTGTAAGCCAACTAAATCTAAATCGTATGATCGGTGGATGGTTGACAGTCATCTGCTACACACTTTAGACTTATAGATCTAGATGTTGAGTACTGCTCTTAACTGATAAATTGGAGTAAACATTACGAGCGACTGCGGCGAGGGAATTGACTCGCACGACTTGCTGTGATAGTCGCAGTGCAACTCTCCTAGTTACTGAATCTCTGAAAGTAAGGTCGTTGCGTTGTTCCCTGGGCAAATTCCCTTCCTTGGGCTTCGAGGGTGATTCGGACAATCGCTATGCCCCAAATACATCTAAATGTAAAACGTGAATGAACTTGATCAATGTGGGTGTTGTGATTTGTATGTTAACTTAGTGACAAGCAGGACCAGACTCACTCGTCACTACATGGACGAGTACATACTGCAGACCTTAATTGCGAGAGTACCATCAACTAGGATTCTTGTAGAGAGATAAAAAGTAGCTTCGATTGAACAGATGTATTGGCTGTGCTAGTGTAGGGCCCGTATTTGTCGAATTCCCAGTCCGAGGCCTTGCTCACCTCACGCAACGAAACCCATCCTACCAAACCACGGCAACCTCAGCAGGGTCCCGTAATGAAAATATTTCCGTTTGCCAAGCCAGACATAGATCAGTCGGTACGGATGGATTCTACCGTCAGTACAAGGGCTCATAAGTTGTCTTCTGTATGCGGCCATGGCATCTGTATCATGGGGGCTACGTAGTACCCTTGCCAATGATAACATTTGGACTGACGTTGGTAGCCCTCACTTCCACGATGTAGTGCCATCAGGCTTCCTGCGGTGAGATACGTCATCAGGATTGCGTACACTGCAAAGTCACCAATCCTGCCAAGTCATTGAACTACTAAGGAGGGGGATCTAGGGTACAGAGAGACCCGAGAGTATCTCAATGTCAGAGGCGCATGCCTCTGCGAGGCAGGTTTATGTGGCATGATACACTGATTGTATCTACCGAGTTGGGCCAGAAGTCAGCTTGCCGTATAGAAATCTTTGACTTCGTTGTGCTTCTCGCTTGTGTGGACGATGTACATGTCTTCACAAGATACTTCCGGCATCTGCTCGACGATTGAACCGCGACCGGAAGTCCATCGAGACTATTCGCCAACCGACGATGCAAACCTGACGGTAGAAATGCCAAGTCGTCACTTTTCTCTCTATTTGTGCAATACCGAGGCGAGAGCCCCAGAAATTCCTTTGCGGCTGATTCAACGTTCAATCATTCCCGCATGCTCACCAACTGCATGACCCGGACCAGGCCTTCGTCTACTCTTCTGCATGGAATTGGCGATGTGGCCATTGGACAGCTGGGATAACGTGACCGATAATTCAGGACGTTATGATGCAGTCCATTTCGCAAGGCCATCGGAGTGTTTCCCATGTTACGCAGTAACCCACCCTCATCTCAGTCGAAATCAGCTCCTAGACGAGAGTCGGTCTAGCTAAGGCCCCAATCGAAAGAGTTCTGGCAGTCCAAGGAGACACTGCTTACTGTCTCAGCTTGAGATGGGGAAATCCTGCCAAAATTCGAGGACCACGCGTGTCCGGAGGTGACGGTGACATCGGGTCATCCACCCGTGTGTTGACAATCGTAAGCTATGTCCGACATGCCGGGTGCTCAGGCCTCCCCCCCCCTCTTATCCGTTCATCCCCGACCGCGAGTTCCACAGTCGGAGGTTTCCCAACGGAAGACGGCATTAATCCCGGAGATCGCAGGCAGGAATGCAAGCAAGGATTGTGTTGGCCCTTGGTAATCTCGGACTGCGACAACCCACGACCTCGACCAACTCGTCGCCGGAGATCCATTCGCGGGATACGTACGCTATTAACCCGGGATGCCATGCGGGCGGGGAAAAGACACTGAACGTCGAAGTGGGAATGAGCAAAACTTTCTCGTGAGGGCGAGAAGACGCCACCCAACACCAAAAACTGCTCGGCGGCCGCTAGGCAGAACGCATGAACCCAAGCCCGTCAGCCGTATCTTGTCAGCCGGGTAGAACATTGATATTCGGTCCCGAGAAGGAGTCGGATCTCTTTGACAGCAAGCCACCTGCGAGCCTCAGAAAGACGGCCTGAAGGCAAGCTTGATCGGGCTAAGGACGGCAAAACGGTGCCAAGACGATAAACCACGGAAGCTTGCCGTTCTGAAGCCTAGATCTCTTCAGCCTTGACGGGCTACTTACAACACTGAGTTCGCACTTGGCCGACGCCTCCTGGATGCTAGCCCAAATGTTGAAGAGAATGTCTGATGACATCAAGACTGAGAGGAAATGTCTGCGAATACCCAACAGGACATAGGAGGAATGGAGTGGCTTACACCGTTATACGCCACTTAAGCGCCTCGCGCACAGACGCCCCAAGCGCACGATCACCTCACTCCCACTTGTGAACGTCTACCTATCCCAGACCGGGAGCTTTTCTTGGAATCTAATCTGGTATTTTCCGGTTTTTTTTTTTTTTTGTGTTCTCTTCGGACACGCCCCTATCTCACAGCATCCGCACACCTGATAAAGTGGGAAATCTAATCTTGTTCAAACAATCAAGCGGCCCCCCGATGTCCATTATTGGCATCCTCGTCTAAGGAGCACGCGGCCTGTCATCCGTGCCCTCTTTTCCCCTTTGAGACTTTGCTTCGCTTTGCCTTGTACAGAGTACTGGTTGGTGGCAAACCCCCCCCTTCCGGCTCGCTCTCGTGTCGTCCCTGTCTGCCAGCCCTATATTCGGGTGTTAACTAAGACGTGCCCGGCGGTAATGCTGGTTTGCTTGATTCTCCATTCGTCTTATTATTCCTACTATTTGTTTGAGGCATGTACAAACAGCCAAGTCCATGAGATAGATAGCCACATGCTGCTCGCCGTCCCACTTGGTCTCTGTTGGTTTGCTGCTGTTGCTATCCCTGGCCGCAGCCTTTTTTGACTGATTGGCGTAATACCTCGACTCGGAATCTCCTTCTGACACATGCATTCAATCGGACTGCGAGCAGCATAAAAAAAAAGACAAAAAACAGGAAGCAAATCGGAGACGGACTGGATCACAGATTCTTGAACAGAGGTTCCCAATTAGGTAATAGTCGCCAACCAGTCAAAAGTGCGACGCGACATGTACAGCTTCTGCCCCAGCATCCACTGGAACGCCGTCGCCGGGAATTATTACACAAGGACCGAGAATTCCATCGCACATGCCGTTGAAAGTCGATTGGACTGAGCCAAGATCGGCGGCTTCGCGGCTGCTGCTTTAGAAGCAGCCAAGGGGAATTGCCGTTGTTTCGGACTGAATCATCAAAGATTCACCTTACTTATTCTTGGCTGGGCTGCGCGTTTCCGCCTGTACCCTCTAAATTTCCTTTGCTTTCCCAACCTGTCCGAATGCATGTTGCGTCGATAACGTGTAATGGCGATTAAGTAGCCGATGTCGCTGAGCATGGCGCACTGTTCTCAGACCGGCCGAACCATCGTATTGTCCGAATTCGGTCAGGGCATTTACAAAATTGGCGATTCATTACCGCTTGAAGGCGACGTCGACGTCCGGGCGCCGGGCAACGGGTGGGCGGCGGCGGCGGCGCGGCGTGGACGAACGGACGACGGGATCCACAACATCCCCTCCACCGCGCCATCACCGAGGCTGAGGTTGGCGGTACCAGCTCATCCTCACCCCCCTTGGGGCGGGCGAGCTTATTCCAGCCCGTCGTTTACGGTCATTTCTCACCTGGGAACGCAGCAGCTGAGCATCTGGCCCGAATCGGCCCAAGAAACAAAATCGTCATCATCTCCGAGGGGTGAGGGACTTCTGGCCAGGTTTTTCTTCCGGGGGTGGAGGAGGGGTAATAAGTCGCTAATTACCCAAGTTCCTGGCCGTCCCCGACCTAGGGTACCTACCGTAGCTACCAGAGCCAAATACCCCTCAAAGCGACAATCAAACAAGCGAGATAAGGTATCAATCGCCAAGGGGTTGAAACGGGTCTGTCCGTCTGCAAAATGCGTCTTGTCTTGTTTTTTTTTTCTGCAGGGTATCATGATACATGTAAGATTGCCCCAAAAGAAGCCGGCCCTATGTCGAGAAGATGAAAAAAAGAACGGTGAAGAGAATTTAACCAAGTCCCAGAAAAGAAGAAGATAAAAATGTCCAAACATGAAAACTCCAACCTGAAGCTCAACGGTCTCACCAACCCAAACTCAGTAGGTGAGCCTCACCTTGTGTTGCCCCACTGCTAAAGGTACACCCAAACATGATGCCGTGTTGATGATACCAGGTGCGGGAAGAAGCGAAGTTGTTTTGAAAAAAAAAAAAAAAAAAAAAAAAAAAACCCAAAAGCCAAACGGCCAAAACATGTACAAATTACAATGCCGCCCGCTGGAAAAGAATCGAACAAAGTGTTGCCGTGACGCGTGCATGCCTTGTGAAGAAGAAAGTAAGATGCGCGCCTCCAGTTCCAGATCCGCTGGAATGGCGCCGAGTGAACCGAGAAATGCCACATCTCTGCCAGTCAGAGAAGTGTCGAACCAACGTCGAAAATGATAAATGCTTGCCGTACACCGCCATCTCGTCCTGACCAGGGGAGGAGGGCATGGTTTCGTGGCGAAGAAAAGAAGTTTGTGTATTCGATAGAAGCGAAAATTCGGAAAATGTCGTACTCATGCATCTCGTTTCGCGAAAATCCGCCGTGATGATATGACCGAAACAAGTCGTAAAATCGGTCCAAGCCAGATCCTCAGTCAGAATGTTGTTGCCCTTGTCGTCGTGTGGCTCCTAAACCTGCGGCTCCACGCGTCCGGACCTCGAAGCTGCCACCGTTGTTCACCGTGCCGTAGGTAGACCCCCGAATCGAATCATCGCAGTTTGTTGCTTCAAGGCTCGTCCGACAGCAAGGACGAGACCGAGTGTCCACCGAGACCCCTTGCTGCTTGGTGCTGCTGAGCGGATGTCGAATCGCCGCCGCTCTGCTCCGGCGCGGTGCCAGAGGTGCCTACTTGCGGGGACGCGCCTCGAGGCGCCCCGAAACTCTCTCCTCGACCCCGACCCGCCGATCGATATGATGAAAGATCGCTACGTTGTCGCGAATGCCCTCGTCTTCGTCCAGGCGGGGGGTTGCCAAGTGTTGAACCACCGTGAAAGGGAGGCGACCTGAGACGTTGTTGACTAGGAGGTGGAGCGGCTTGCTGCGGGCCAGTGGCCTTGCGCTTGTTCCTAGGAGACTCCCCTACTGGCCACACCAGCCAAGGTTAGCCTAAAGCGACTCGCGCTTTCTTTTGGTCTTGCTGGACGCACCGGAGGGGGTCGCAGGCTGGGTAGAGCCACCTCCGGCTTGGGACGTAGGCGGATGCCAGTGATGGAAGTAGATGGACGGACTGGGCTGCGCTTCCTGCTGAGCAGCTGCGGACTGTGCCGTCGGGTGTGCCTGGTGACTCTGGACCTGCTGCGGGCCGGTCTGCGGCACGTTGGTGTTCAAACTGGGCAAGTTCGTAGATCCGAGAGGTCGAGATACCGAGCCTGTCGAGGACAAAGTTGTTGCCCTACCCCGGGTCCCGGGGGAAGCTGGGTAACCGGAGAAACCATGGGGTCCGGGAGCGGAGCTTGGTGTCGCGGGCACACCGGAATACTGCCCGTACGGCTGCGACTGAGAATCGCGACGGTGATCGGGCGACAGAGGGCCTTGAGAAGGAAGCAACTGAGGATGCTGGGGCTGGCCGTGCGGGTTGAGGAACTGCTGTGCCCATTCCAGGGCAGCCGGGGGCAGAACACCACCGCCCATGCCCGCGAAGACGAGGGGCACGATGGGTGGCGGTATTCCGCCCGTCAGCGAGGTGCGCAACATGTCGGCTTCGATGCGGCGCTGCTCAAGGCGTAGAGACTCTTGCCTGGTCTTCTCCTCCTCCTGCCTTCTACGCTCTTCCTCGGTCTTGGCGGCCAACCAGCTTCTCATGGAATCCTCAGCACCCTGCCATTGAGGAGGCGGGCCCGGCAGCTGGCCCATAGCATGGCTGTGAGTCGTGGGCTGCTGGCTGATGGCCTGGGGGGCGGGCGGCGGAGGTGGAGGGGGTGCGGTAGCAGCATGAGGCGGCTGGGGAGGCAGCGTCATAGCCGCCGGCGGAGGCAGGCCACGATGATGCGCGGACATGGGCTGGCCGGGTGGACTGTGACTGCGGGGGATGGACGGCAGCAACTTGTGGGAAGGGTGTTCTTGGTAAGACAGAGGAGGCGAAGGTCGGGAAGTCGAAGGCGGAGTTGGTAGGTCATGGACGGACTTGTAGCCGTAGTGTGATGGCTGCTTAACAGTGAGCATGGTCATATACTCATGTGTCCCAGATGACTATGAGTTGTTGGAAAGAAACACCGGCAACATGGGAGCCTATGTCGAGAGGAGGAAGATGTTGTTTTGGTATTTGTGTTTGCCAGCCAATGGAAGATCCTGGGGAAGGAGGGAAAAAAAAAACCGAGTTGACAAAGAGGAGAGGTAATGAAGGTCGAGAAGTAAACAAAACGGAAAGAGAGAAAAAAAGGTTCTGGCTGGCCAGGCAGGCGGATGGAAGGAAGAGAGGATTGAAGGTTGAAAAAGGTGAAGTAAGGTAAGGTAGGTGAGGTGAGGTAGGTAAGAAAGACAAATCGAGATATGGGGGTGCAGGTGGTGGAAATAACCTTTTTACAGGTTCAAGCTCAAGGAGGCGGTCCAGGCTGGGAAAGTGAAGTGAAGTGGGCTCAGGAACCGAATGGTCCAGTATCAAAGTACGGCTAAGGTGAGGTAAGGTAGGTAGGTAGGTAGGTAGGTAGGTACCTTACCTCAGGAGGGCAACGGTAATAGTACGGTACGGATACGCTGAGGCGTGTGTGTACATGAGGTATCCATATCCAATCCAATGGAGATGACAGCCAGACCAGAGGTGTGGAGGTGGCCACCGTACCTACCTAACCTATGGAAGGTAAGGCAAGGCAATGTGAGGTATCCGTAGGCAGGTCGGTACCTTACCTCAGGTAGGTAAGGTCCAGAGCAGCACCTCAGCCTACCTACGGTACCTAGCTCACCTTACCTTCCTTAGCTACTACTGCCAAGTACCTTATGTGCGTGCCTATGTGCCTATGTACCTACTTACTGCGTACATCCAGACAGGGACTCTTGAGGGGGCATTGGGTATTTGGGTGGTCTTGGTATCTGGCTGTATCCCCAAGGCAGAGAAGAGCGACGAGGAAGCTAAGCAGGATAGAGACAAGCAGGGCAAAGAAAGTACCGAGTTTTTTTTCTCTCTGCCTGTGAATCTGTACTGTACGGAGTCCTACCGGTTTGTGTGCGATGATGTAGAAACGGGCGGGGCGGGGTGTAAGTTTCATGGAACCTCTCTCCACGAACGGGCCCAACCTCATTTAGCTATCGAGACTTGGACTTGGATAGTCAGTTAGGCAGGGTTGCCTACGTAAGAACGGATACCGGAACGGACTGAGGCATTGAGCTGGGAGGATCCGCACGCAGTAAAGTGTCTTGCGTGGGTGGTGAGTCTTGTGCGCGATCAAGGTGGAGGAGTACTGAAGCATCTGCAAAGGGCAGAGACACCATTGGCGAGGCACTTACAAGCTCAGCACAAGAAGCCCGATGGAGATGAGAGATGGGCAGTGAGATATGCAGATGGAGCTAAGACTGAGAGGTCCAGAAGGGGTAGGAAGGCAACGCAGGGCAGGGCAGGGCTAGACTCAGAATCGGATCCAGACCCAGACCCGGACCCAGACCCAAGCTCGGCTGACAACTCTGGGGCCTCTAATTACCTACGACCTCCCGCTCTGCATTCACAGGCTTTCTATTCGTGGACGATGACAACGACGCCTCCAGAGTCCAGAGTCCAGAGCTGAGAGCCGGATGTGGGAGTAGACGTGCAAGAAAGGCATCACTGTCAGGGAAATGGAACCCGCGACGCAGGAGAGAGAAGCAGTGCAAGGTTTCTATCCATGTGCATCCCTAGAGGGAAATCCAGTTGACGTGTGAGCGTAGCGTGTGAGCATACTATGTACTGTGTGTGTGTGTGTGTGTGGGAGGGACGGCGTGATACAGCGGGTGTTCTCTTATTATTGTTTCTCTCGTTATTTCCCTATCCCAAGGAACCCCGGCTGCCGGAGGGGGTGTATGATGCGGAATAGATGGAGACGCGGGAAACGAGACGAACCATCCAAGGCCCGACTCGTTGACGGAGCCTCCCAACCAAAGGTCAGAGGACGCTTCGGAGCCCGACGAGCGAGAGATCAATAAGGATATTGTCACAGTATAAGTCAAGGAACCTGGAAGCACAGATCAAGACAAAATTGAAAGAGGGAGAGGGCAGACAGAGAATGGCTGAGCTGCGTTGCGTTGCCCGCTGCCCGTTGCCCGTTGTCCGCAGTGGAGAATGACAGCAATGAGCTTGAGCCTGGTTTATTTCATTTACAACCATCGCGTATCAGAAGAGATGACACATGGAGGGGGATGAGCACAAGGGGTGCGTGTTTGCTGAACCGGGGGCGTGGATGCGACCTAGTGAGGTTTGGCGTCGGCGTGGAGCTGGTGTGGGTGTGAGGCTAAGAGCCGGACTTGATAGGGGTGCGGGCGTGTAATTGGAACCAGCCCAGGGAAAGAGGGGGGGAGAAGGAAAGAAGCAGCAATAACAACAACAACCCGACGACAACGACACCCCATTGAGACGGAGAGACGGAGAGACGGAGTGACGGAGAGACGGGAGGGGGTGGACGCGGGAAATGTGGCAAAGGTCGGAGTACGTACCACACTCATACATAATATACATAGTAGTACTAAGTTAGTAGTTGTAGTAGTCGCCATCGGGAGGGACCTGCTCCTCTTTTTATTTCCTTCCAAGATGGGCAGCACGGTAGCAGCCGGAGTCGACTCGGAACAAGGAATGACGAGCTTGACGGGAGACTTCCAATTCGAATTGGGGGCCGGACGCATCGTGATGCTAGCAACTCTCGAGTCAGAATGTCACTTACATCGCGTTGCGTCGTATGAAAGTGAAGCCGAGGCTGAAGACGCTGACGAAGCAACTTCCCATATAACATTCGTCTACAATCATCCTCTTGTCGGTATCGCAATACCATGAGCATCAACCCTATACCTATACGCCTTGCACTGCTCACTGCTTGCTATTTATATCCTTTCCCATCTTCACCACTCGCTGCCTTTCCGTTGCCGTCGCTGCACGTAGTAAGTTTCTCTCACAACTCTGACATAGGTTATGAATAACCACGTGAATCTCCAGAAGCCCATCCCGCAAGCCACGCTCAGTGACACAACGATGCGCAACCCGTCTACCGATACAGCCACGAGGGGGCTGGCGAGTTGCCAGGCTGTGGGTAAGACGAAGACGGGACGGGGGGCGGGCTGGTAAGCCAGTCAGACCTCGGTTCCGATATTGATATCGACCCTTGGAACGCCACAAACTCATCCATCCCACGAGGCTGCAACCGCCTGTCTGGCCGCGACACAGCCATGTCTTTTTTTCTAATCTGTTCATAATTATCCGTGGATTTCGTAAGGGCCTGCGGCTTCGTTGCCTGGCGATTGTCCATGTCCTCAAGAATCGCGGCCCATGAGCTCTGCGAGTCGGGGGCGACAGCTTAGCTGTCTATCCGTACCTTGGCTATGGAGGTGGGTATTTGCTGCTTTGAGAGGGTGTGGTGTCGTCGCAAAAGGATCGACACTTGTCGTGCGGTGTCCTATCTGACATGTATGTTGGCGATGTGGTCTGCTCCCTTGGTCGACATCCGGAGCCGCCAGGGACAACCTGGCGCGTGTTATCGACAAAGTCTACAAACGCAGGAGCATGCATGTAGAGTTTGCCTACGACTGCAGGGCCGATCCTGACTGAACATCGACAGCGCCACGAGGGCAACGAAGAGAGGAGCTGCCCAGGGGAGGGGAGACAGGGCCAAACTCGATGCCAGTAGTATCTTCACTCTGAATGCCGAGAACTCTTTGCCGGTTGCAACCCGGTTAGGATGAGAAGTACGGATAGCGGGCCTGAAAGTTGAAGATGACCGTTGCACGGCTCCATTGACCGGTCATCGGCCTCGAAGCGCGAGACCTGCAGTAGTGGTCGAACGACTACTCGAGCCCAGCAGGCCGCTTCGCCGCCGTTATGTGGCTGGGCGGGGCTGCAGTGACAGTTGCCGTTTTACCCTTGTCTTGTGATGCTCGCAGTTCTTTTTTTTCTCGGATGTTTCTTCCTCGACCTATTCGTCAATGGCTGCCATTGATTGTTATTCGCGCTTTGAGAAGTAGGATGAGTCGAGCTCGGCGGGCCCTGCAAGAGTCTCATGGTGAAGTGCGGAAGTGTCCGGTCTCGCCCCCTCACCTCACCTCGTCTCGTCTCGTCTCGTCTCGTCTCGTCTGTTCTTTCTTCCTGTGCCACTCACGGAGGAGCACGTCACCGTGGAGTGTGTGAGCGGAAGAGCGTCTTGGGCTACCTAGGCACGCAGTAGGTTGTCGGCATCAGTGGTTCTTTTCTTGTCGCCCACGGACCTCGACCAACGACCGCCAGGGATGGTGTAATCGTACCCGAACCGAAAGGTAAAAGGGAGACTGGCAAGGTTGGTAAAGATCAGAAAAGCATGGTAACACTGGGGAAGGTGAGCGAACTCAACGCGTGAGGTACGTAAGGTAAGGAAGGTATGTAGGCAATACGAATATCCGTGTTGCGTCCTTTTGTGCCATGCAGTGGAAGCTCAGCTCGTGCAGCTTTGCCATGCCGTGAGATGGGGCTGTTCCTATTCATGGATGAGGGGTGGGAACGCCGTGGAACTCTCTGGTGTGGTCCCCCTCCTTTGCCTTTGCCCGTCTCTCTTCTCTTGCCGCAAGTTTCGTTGACTGAGGAGGAGGGAAAAGAAAAGAAGGAGTAAGCGGACCGTGGGCGATGCGGCAACATAACGGTAGCAGGCTCCTTACGATATGCGGCTGGAGGAGTGATGTTTTGGCGCACATCAACGGTACAGAGTAAGGTAGAGGGTAGAGGGCGACAACACGCACCGCACCGCACCGCATCGCATCGCATCGCATCGCACCGTACCGCGTGAGAACCAGCCACAGCAACTGTGGATGGTGAGGTGCTTCCAAGGGAGCCAAAAGCTCCACCGGAAAAGGGGGCGTGAGCTGTAAACTGAAGGGGTGTGTGGTTGAAGAGATGGGACACTTTGCGGATGGATTCTTTCCTGTATGGTTGGAGGCGGCGTGTGCGTCCGAAGGATTCTGGACGTTCGGGAGATACCTGGGCACGTTACATCGATACGTACTCCACGACCCTCAATTTCCAACTTTTCCAC